ATCACATCTGTAGAAGTTATATAGGGACACGAAATACTGGAGGTGTACAATCCCCGCTCGAGTGCAAGAAGACGCGCTCGAGCGGATCGCCTAAAAACTGGACAACAAGGAATTGAAACCAAGGCCTAACCAACCTGTAACAACCCTGCTCAAAACATCCTAAAACTCAATCAAGTGGAATTAAAGGACAGCAACAAGATAGATACCACTACCAACTTCACGGAAACGGAGTCCGAGATACAACAGAACAGTAAAGGGACAACCGGGATCGCTATATAACCTCTCCCCTTAAAGAATTTCGTCCCGAAATTAAACACAAGTTTTTCAAAAACAAGTTTTCTCCATTCTCAACATATTACGACATAATATTAAAAAATTCGACCCATTACTGTCAATTCCATCTCTTTTGCAAGAGGCATTTCACAACAGATATTACAAGTGCATTATCAACATGCAATTTTTTTCTTCCATTTCCAACCATTTCCAACATACATGGTTCACAGTTCATATCATATTCAATATACATAATACAACTCCAATTCTACAATATAGCCAACATATGCAATATCATAATCAACTACCATATCAAGGTAAGTTCTACAACATACTTCCATTAAAACCAAAACATTACCAATGCTTTACAACTCAAGACATATATAATGCTCTTAAGATCCAACAACATTACAAAATTTAAATACCAAGATTACTCATCAATAACAAGTCTGGATATTTCTCGCGGACCTCCACTCGCTTCCAGTGGCTTCCTCCACCTCGTGATGTTTCCACAAAACCTTTACCAAAGGGATGGTCTTGCCACGCAGGACTTGATCCCGCATATCCAAGACCCATACCGGTCTTTCCTCAAACGAGCATCCTCATCTACCTCTAAATCGGTCCAATCTAACACGTGGGACAGATCCGGCTCATACTTCCGAAGCATAACTCACATGAAACACGTCATGCACTCCGGACAACTGCGGCGGTAAGGCTAAAACGATAGGCAACCTCGCCAATCCTCTCAAGGATCTCAAAAGGAGCAATAAACCGAGGGGATAACTCTCCACTCTTGCCAAATCTCATCAAAACTCGCCTAGGTGATATTTTTCAAGAAGACATGATCACCTACCTCGAACACCAAAGGCCTCCTCCTACGGTCGGCATAACTCTTGGCGACTCTGGCTGTAACAAGCCTCCTACGGATAAGCTCAACTTTTCTCCGTCGTCTCCTCTAACCAACTCCGGACCCAACAAGGTGGCATCACCACCTCGGTCCAACAAATTGGAGACCTACATGGTTGGCCATACAAGGCCTCAAACGGTGCCATACCGATGCTGACTGAAAACTGTTGTTGTAGGCAAACTCTACCAATGGCAAGTGCCTCTCCCACGTCCCACTAAAGTCAAGGACACAACCCCGAAGCATATCCTCCAAGGATCTGAAATAGTACGCTCGGACTGCCCGTCAGTCTGAGGATGATAAGCCGTACTAAAGGTCAACTTAGTGCCCAAGGCACTCTGCAAACTCTGTCACAACTAGCAGTAAAACGAGGATCTCTATCTGAGACGATCGTCACTGGACCCCGTGCAATCTCACTATGTTCCCGAATATACAAGTCAGCGAGATGATCTACTGAATCTCTCACGCGCATGAGAATGAAGTGCGCCGACTTAGTCAACCGGTCTACAACCACCAAATAGCATCACTACCCCGCTGAGTCTTCGGAAGACCTACGACGAAGTCCACAGTGACATGCTCCCACTTCCACTCGGCAATAGGCAAGGGTTACAACAACCCGCTAGCCTCTGAATGCTCGGCCTCACTTGCTGGCAAGTAAGGCACTTAACACGAAAACTGCCCACATCTCTCTTCATACCCCGCCACCAAACTGGCGACCTAAATCCCGATACATCTTAGTGCCCCCCGGATGCACCGCAGGCGAGAATGATGGAAATCTCGGAGTACTCTCTCGTCAAGACTCCGACACAAAACAAACGGTCTCGGTATCTCACACTCTGGTCGGGATTAACACCGTCAAACCCTTCTCAACTTTCCCACTGGAGATCTTCTCTCGGAAGGACTCTACCTCAAGGTCACCTCTCTGTGCCTCTAACACTCTAGTCACAAGTGGTAGGTTGCGCAACAACAGAAAACAAGGCCACAGCCTCAACAGGTTCGCCTAGACGCAAATCAAACTCGCCAAGTGCACCCAACATCTCCCATTCCCGGATGGGCAATAACAGGCTATATCACTAATGGATTTCCTACTAAGGGCATCGGCCACAACATTGGCCTTTCCCAATGATAGTGCAACTCAAAAATCATAGTCCTCCATGAACTCCATCCATCTCCTCTGCTCAAATTCAAACTCTCTGTGTAAACAGATACTTCAAACTCTTGTGGTCCGAGAACACCTCGAACCTCTCACCATAAAGATAGTGCCTCCAAATCTTCAGCAAAGATCACTGCCGCTAACTCTAGGTCGTGTGTAGGTAATTCTTCTCGTGAATTTTCAACTGACATGAGCCATAGGCTACCACTTTCCCCTCTTGCCATCAATACAAACCCAACCCTCTCGTGAGGCATCACAATAACCGCATAACCCAACCCTCTCTCCGGAATATCAAAACCGGAGCGGTGGTCAATCTAACCTTCAACTCATGAACGATTTTCACAAGTCTCACTCCATACGAACTTGACCCCTTTTCGCGTCATCTAGTCAACGGCGAAAGCTAGCCTGGAGAAATCCTTCACAAACCGACGGTAATACCCAGCTAATCCCAGAAAACTGCGGATCTCAAACACACTCTTAGGCTGTGCCAATCTTGCACTGCCTCAACCTTGGATGCATCAACGGACACCCCTTCCCACGGATACCACTGGCCTAAGAATTGACTTCCCTTAACCAGAACTCACACTTCCCAAACTTGCATACAGCCTATGGACTCTAAGCAACTCAAGCAAACACTCTCAAGTGTTCCTCGTTCTCCTCCTCTGAAGGTGAGTAAATCAGGATTTCGGTCCACGAAAACGACTACAAAACGGTCTAAAGAATTCCCGGAAGATCCGGTTCATCAAGTCCATAAAGACTGCCGGTGCATTGGTAAGCCCGAATGGCATCACCAAAACTCATAATGGCCATACCGCGTACGGAATGCGTCTTAGAATATCCTCCTCCCTAACCTCAACTGGTGGTAACCCGATCTCAAGTCTATCTTAGAGAAACAGCGGAACCCTTCAACTGGTCAAACAGATCATCTATACGGGCATAGGGGTACTTATTCTCTTCACCGTAGCCCGCGATTCAACTTCCGGTAGTTTATACACAATCTCAAGGCACCATCTTTTTTAGCAAAGAGGGCCGGTGCTCCCCACGGCGAAACACTAGGGCGAACAAACCCTTTATGTAGCAATTCCTGGAGCTGAACTTCCAACTCAACCAGCTCTGCTGGAGCGAAACGATAAGGTGCCATAGAAATCGGCGCCGTGCCTGGCACTAGATCAATAAAGAACTCTATCTCTTGGTGAGGTGGCAAACTAACAGGGCCTCGGGAAAACATCCGAATACTCACAAACCACCCTCGGCAAAACAACAAGCTAGGTCTCACTACACTTACACTCTCAAAGCTAGCAAGTAGGGACCACTAAACTCACTCCGCCCTCAGCGCGAATCATAACCGGTAAGCAAAACACTTAACCAACCGGTCTCCCAAGAAATGAGAACCACTCCCCGCCTTCAAGTTAGTAACGTGACCCTCTGGCGGTAGCATCGATAACAGCCCGAGTATGACGATAGCAGTCCATACCCAATAACTATCAAAACCTCATAGGCATGACAACGAAAAGGAAAAGGAACCTATGGTCGGCGCCTCTATATCACAACCTCTAACACCTTGTTTCAAGATCAACTTCATCACCAATAGTGCAGGTGATACCACACAAATAGGAGATGCTAACTGTGCTAACTCCAATTCCAAAACAGATGCAAATGCAGCAGATACAAAAGAATGAGATGCACCCGTGTCAATCAACACACTAGCAACCGAGTTTCAAAACAGAAAAGTACCTCTCACTACTGATGGAGCCGGTACTAGATCCTGCGCGGTAACAGCATACACGCGCCCTGTAGGCCCCTAATCCAGCTGCTCACCTCTAGGAGCGAAAGACTGCTGCACAGACTGGGATGACGAAGCTCCCGGGTTGGCCCTCAAGGCCTGCGTAGACTGAGCTGGCTGAAAACTCTGCATCTGCCTAGAACCAGACGCTCCCGAAGTGGCACTCAACTGCGGGCAAAACCTCTTCAGATGCCCGGGTTGACCACACTGATAGCAAGACAAGGACTGGCCCCTGCCCTGACTCTGGCCCTGTGGTCTAGCTGATGAAGAAGCAGCTCGCTGACCCCCTCCCTTCTGTGGGCAAACCAAAACTTTATGACCCAGCTGGCCACACTTGTAACAGGTGAAATCCCCCTAACTACCTCTCCCGGAGCCTGCACTCGGCACTGGAAAGGTCGACCTAGCCAAACCACCCTGAGACTGCTGAGAGTTAGAACCCCTCTATCTCCTGCCGTCACCCTGACCATCTTGGCTCCTTTTGGAGCCTCTCTGCCCCTCGTCTTCCTCCTGCATCATAATCTCCATATGAGTAGCTGCATCCACCAAACGTCTGTACTCTCGGATGAAAGATCCACCAACCCTCAGCTTGAGGCCTCGCCTCAACTTCCGCTCAAACTCAAAGCAACGGCGTTCCTCGGACGCCACTAGTTCAGGTGCAAACCTGGACAGACTAGTAAAAGTAGCCTCAAACTCGGCCACTGACAGGCTCTGCTGCTTAAGCTGGCAAAACTGCTCCCTCAGCTTCTCCCTAGCAGCTGAAGACAAAAACTTATCCTGGAAGGTGTTCACAAAAGCCTTCCACACACCACCAACACGACCTTTCTCGTACTTCCACCACTGACCCGCATCTCCCTTCAGTTGGAAGGATGCCAAGGTCACCTTTAAAGCTTAGGTGCAAACTTTGTCCAAGAATTGTTTGCTTGTCAGAGGAGACTTTGAAGACTCATCTAAAATCCAAGGTACACTTTCACATATCTTTGTTTCTTGCTCCATTCAAAATCCTCATCCTGTATAGTTAGTGTCAACAGAAACCCTGTTTCATTACTTCAGCTGTGAAGTGTTGCATTTTTGGCTGCTGCGATGGGAGGGCCCTCTGCCCTCTTCCTATATGATCATTTAAGTACTAATTTGTATCGTATCCAGTAATTGTTCCATCTTTCTCTAGTGAATCATGTAATGAAGCTGTATTTATGTTTGTGAGTTTGTATATGCATGAATATGTGTATGAGCACATGTGTGGGCAAGAAACACAGGATATAGTTATTACCCAGCTAGGCTTATAAGAAACCAGCCTCATTCTGAGGCGATTAGATGCAATTCTTGAGGAAATATTAACCTTCGGCCATTTAATTGCTAATAATGGATGAACTACTAATTGTCTTCTTTTTTTTTTTCTTTGCAAGGTAGATTTTGTGGGCATCAACCATTTACCAAATTATTTTCCCCTCTTGACATCAAAATAACAATAATAATAATAATTTTTTCCCTCAAGTATCTTGGGCATATTGAACCTCTTCTATGTGATGTCAGTTTCTCATCTGACATATCTAATTGCTAAATTGGTTCTAACGTCTGTTTCTCACCTGCCCTATCTAATTGCTAAATTGGTTCTAACGTCTGTTTCTCACCTGCCCTATCTAATTGCTAAATTGGTTCTAACGTCTGTTTCTCACCTGCCCTATCTAATTGCTAAATTGGTTCTAACGTCTGTTTCTCACCTGCCCTATCTAATTGCTAAATTGGTTCTAACGTCTGTTTCTCACCTGCCCTATCTAATTGCTAAATTGGTTCTAACGTCTGTTTCTCACCTGCCCTATCTAATTGCTAAATTGGTTCTAACGTCTGTTTCTCACCTGCCCTATCTAATTGCTAAATTGGTTCTAACGTCTGTTTCTCACCTGCCCTATCTAATTGCTAAATTGGTTCTAACGTCTGTTTCTCACCTGCCCTATCTAATTGCTAAATTGGTTCTAACGTCTGTTTCTCACCTGCCCTATCTAATTGCTAAATTGGTTCTAACGTCTGTTTCTCACCTGCCCTATCTAATTGCTAAATTGGTTCTAACGTCTGTTTCTCACCTGCCCTATCTAATTGCTAAATTGGTTCTAACGTCTGTTTCTCACCTGCCCTATCTAATTGCTAAATTGGTTCTAACGTCTGTTTCTCACCTGCCCTATCTAATTGCTAAATTGGTTCTAACGTCTGTTTCTCACCTGCCCTATCTAATTGCTAAATTGGTTCTAACGTCTGTTTCTCACCTGCCCTATCTAATTGCTAAATTGGTTCTAACGTCTGTTTCTCACCTGCCCTATCTAATTGCTAAATTGGTTCTAACGTCTGTTTCTCACCTGCCCTATCTAATTGCTAAATTGGTTCTAACGTCTGTTTCTCACCTGCCCTATCTAATTGCTAAATTGGTTCTAACGTCTGTTTCTCACCTGCCCTATCTAATTGCTAAATTGGTTCTAACGTCTGTTTCTCACCTGCCCTATCTAATTGCTAAATTGGTTTATGGGCAGTTGACCTGTGGTTGACTTAAATATGTAATCCTAGTACATTTAGAAAGAAAATTATGTAAAGTCCATGATGACCAAAATTTTGTACCAAATGATGTCTCATCATTGTATTGATGCAATGGACCCTACCTTCCATGTATTGTAACAATGCATAAATAACATGTAGCGTGCCAGGTCATTTTGGTAAAGCAAATTTGGTACAAAAATTTGATAATCCTAGCAGTACTCCAAATCTTCCTTTCTCAAAACAAAAGTTTGGGGGGGCATTACAGAATGGCCAATGGGTATCCCACTTGTACATATGCTGTCAATTGCTGAACTGATTGAAACTCCTTTTGTATTTTTGTAATAGAGACATGCCCGATCTGAAAAGTTACTTAGTGAAGGGAGGCTGAAGCTCGTGCTCAACAGTGATGGGGAAATTGAGGAAGAAGAAGAAGATGGAGAGACTCATGCAGAGAGGCATGCTCGAATTGTAGCTGCTACACAGGTTGGTTCATCTGCTATTGAGATCCCCACTGAAATGGATTGAAGGTCTGTTGTTTTTATGGGTGAATTAATTTCTCTTTATTAATTAATCATACCAGAATTCAGCCAACTCAAAGAAGAAAAATAAAGGACGGCAAAGACAGAGGAAGAGGTTAAAGAAGAAGGTAATTTGACATCATGCATAGTGATCCCTTGTGTATTTATTGGTTACAAGATTACATAAAGCGCGAATCATATTTTTATGTCCACTGCAGGAAAAGGGTAAAGATAAAAATTTGGATAAAGCCAAACAATTAACAAAGAGTCCAGCCAAGAAAAGGCGTAAAAGCAAGATTTGAAGCATGTGATAAGCTTGTTGCATTCTGTGATCCAGTCCACCGAAGCAAAAAATGAAACAAAGAAATGGCGTGTTTGTTTCTGCTAAGAGATGGTTGGTAGCACTTGTTTAATTCTAGATTTTGTTTTCACCTAGCACATGCAAACTGGATTACCTAATATGTCAATTATGTTAGTTTTGCTTTTTCAACCCTGCCGCGGTTCGTGTTTGTAATTTTGTGTTGGTATTGTCCTTTCGTGTTTACAGAGAATTACATTTTTGGCAATACAATTTTGGCTTTGGCAAATTGACAAAAAAATACTCGGTGTATGTATTTGAGTTGATTCTTGGTGAAAATCTAGCATATATGTTTGATACTTGTCAATATATGAGTATTTGAGTTGATTCTTGGTGAAAATCTAGCATATATGTTTGATACTTGTCAATATATGAGTATTTGAGTTGATTCTTGGTGAAAATCTAGCATATATGTTTGATACTTGTCAATATATGAGTATTTGAGTTGATTCTTGGTGAAAATCTAGCATATATGTTTGATACTTGTCAATATATGAGTATTTGAGTTGATTCTTGGTGAAAATCTAGCATATATGTTTGATACTTGTCAATATATGAGTATTTGAGTTGATTCTTGGTGAAAATCTAGCATATATGTTTGATACTTGTCAATATATGAGTATTTGAGTTGATTCTTGGTGAAAATCTAGCATATATGTTTGATACTTGTCAATATATGAGTATTTGAGTTGATTCTTGGTGAAAATCTAGCATATATGTTTGATACTTGTCAATATATGAGTATTTGAGTTGATTCTTGGTGAAAATCTAGCATATATGTTTGATACTTGTCAATATATGAGTATTTGAGTTGATTCTTGGTGAAAATCTAGCATATATGTTTGATACTTGTCAATATATGAGTATTTGAGTTGATTCTTGGTGAAAATCTAGCATATATGTTTGATACTTGTCAATATATGAGTATTTGAGTTGATTCTTGGTGAAAATCTAGCATATATGTTTGATACTTGTCAATATATGAGTATTTGAGTTGATTCTTGGTGAAAATCTAGCATATATGTTTGATACTTGTCAATATATGAGTATTTGAGTTGATTCTTGGTGAAAATCTAGCATATATGTTTGATACTTGTCAATATATGAGTATTTGAGTTGATTCTTGGTGAAAATCTAGCATATATGTTTGATACTTGTCAATATATGAGTATTTGAGTTGATTCTTGGTGAAAATCTAGCGTATGTAGTTGATACTTGTCAATACACGTTTCTCTAAAACTTTTTTTGCAGCGATTAATTAGGTTTCTATTTCTTTTCTTCAGTAAATGCGAACAGGTGGCAACATGCTACAATTCTCATCAAAACAAGCCCCCAATCATTTAGGCCGTGGCACATCAAGCCTGCTTGAAAGCTCATCTAATGAGTGTTTTAACCCAATCCAGAACCCCAGAATTTTTTTTTATATAATTTTTGTGGTACCTGTTAGGGCTGTTAGGGGTGCTCACAGTGCGAGTTTGGTCAGGTTATATACTATCTGCCATCCAACTGACCGGAGTTCAGGTTAAGAAAATTTCGGTATCTGTCCACTCCTGGTTTCGAAATCAATCAAGTGCAAGTGAATGCAAATCAGGTTGGCAAAAAAAACCAAATCTTAATTTTACAAGAACAATTCTAATTTTTTACTAAATAAATCAGATTTTATAAATTTAAAAAAAAAATCCTAATTTTTTAACTGAACAATGAAAAGAAATGGGGTTCTGTTTTCCTGAACAGTGAAAAGCATTCATTTCAAATTCCAGTAATTTATTTAATGAACAAATAAATCTCATATATTAATATTTATGAAGAATTCTCAATTCTATACGGTTGGGTTAGGTTTAGCAGATTGAAACTTCTATATCCACAACCCGACCAAAATTCTTTTGTTTTTAAATTACTAGATGCACATCCATACCCCCGTTGCATCCATTGAAGATAAAATATTAAGTATAACAATCATACCATTCTACATGATATCACTGGCTAATAATAAATTAGATAAACTATCAATAGGTCTTAATAGTTGGGCTTAATTTCAATCAAATCCTATTATAAATAAATCTTGATAAAATTGTCATTAAAAATAATTTTTTTGTGACAATTTTTACATACGTCTGTGTCTATTTATATTGAAGGTGTTTTTATTGATACAGCACTAAAATGTGTATCAAACTGGAAGTATGAAGTGTTTTGATTTGAGCCTGAGTCTCATCTGTTTGTTGACATTGGAAGAATGTGAATATGATATATATAGTTCACTGTTGTAAGTTTGGCCAGGTTCTAGCCATATTGATAATGTTGGAAAGTAAAACGTGTCTTAGACATTAGTGTCATGAGACTGTATAATGATGTAATTGATTATCTTGGTTAACCATCTATTGAATGCTATTGCTTTATTCAATGCTTATATTTGGTTTAGTATATTTCTACTGGGCTGTGGCTCACCCTATATGGGAACATCATTTTCAGGTTCAGGTGATAAGCTACCTCCAAGGACTTAGCTTGGAAGGACTTGGATTTTGAAGACTAATTTCAGTATTTCGTTTTTTATTTGTTAGTACATGTAAACACTCAAGCCTAGGGCTTTACTTGTATTTGAGTTAGAACTCATACTTTTGTGTCCATGTGTTGGTTGGAAAGATGTAAGCCTGTAGGGCATTTAATTTGATGTTACATGTAATGCTTTTATTTAGTAAGATTCTGATGAATGTTATAATGAATTGTTTCCCTTTTAACATTGCATGTTGATGTTATATATATTTAATGGGTTTATTTTTGAGGGCGTTACAACTTGGTATCAAAGCGTACCGGGTTTGAATACTTTGGGTACGTGGGAAGTGATTAGTATCACGATGGGTTCGTCTCGTTTGATAGAGACTTAGTGTAATGTTATATGCTTATGTGATAACATGTTTATGTGATTATGTGGGTATGGAATTTAGTTTCTAGGATGTTGATTGGACCCTTGAGTTTCTAGTAGTCTTGTTGGAAAGGCACTTGATCACTGCTGTTCCAACCGGAACTATAGTAACGCATTGGGACTATCATTATCTGGGAGTGAAATTTGTAGGTGCTTAAGTGATTATGTGCTTACGTGAATGAATTATTGTTGTCCAATGCATTAGGACACGAGTGTTTAGCTTCGGCACATTTTTAATGTGCTAATGTCTTTGTTCCTTTATTAGGATGTCAGGACGAGGACGAGGACGAGGACGCGGTAGGCGTGGTAGGCCGGGTAGGCAGGAGGTGCCTGTGCCAGAGGAGATTCCGGCAGTTCAGGAGGAATTGGCTAGGCCAATGTGGCCGAGCCAGTAGGCCAGCAGGCTATTGGCGCTCTAGCCCGAGAGATAACAGGGGCATTCAGGGAGTCAGTAGGCATTCTAGAGCTGAGAATCAAGCTCGGGATGTTGTTGCAGATGCAGGACCTTCCTTTCTGAAGAGGGAGTTCTTCCGGTCTAATCCGGATGAATTTGTGGGTGATCCTAAAGAGCCGCTTAAGGCAGATGAATGGCTCGAACAGACAACGAAGACATTTGAGATGGCTTGGCATCGAAGACGAGGGGTTGAAAGTGCCTTGGCATCTTTCCAGTTGAAGGGGGATGCGGGTCAGTGGTGGAAGTTTACTAAGGGTCGTATAGGAGGTACATGAGAGGCTTTTGTGAATGCTTTCCAGGAAAAGTTCTTATCTCCAGCAGTTAGGGAGAAGCTGAGAGACCAGTTCTACCAGCTTAAGCAGTCGAGTTCTTCAGTGCGAGTTTGAGGCTGCATTTACTAGTTTGTCCAGGTTTGCACCTGAGTTGGTGGCGTCTGAGGAACGCCGTTGTATCGAGTTTGAGAAGAAGTTGAGGCGTGGCCTCAAGCTGAGAGTTGGAGGAACTATGATTCGGGATTATAGGCGTATGGTTGATGCTGCAGCCCACATGGAAATCATGATGCAGGAGGAGGAGGAAAGACAGAAGGGCTCTAGAGAGGAGTCAGGATGGTCAGAGTGATGGTAGGAGACAGAAGGGTTTAATCCTCAGCAGTCTCAGGTAGCTTTTCTAGATCGACTTTTCCTGTGCCGAGTGCTAGTTCGGGGAAAGGCAGTTAGGGAGACATTACCTGTTTCAAGTGTGGCCAGCTGGGCCACAAGTCTCCAGTTTGTCCTCAGAGGGGAGGAGTGCAGAGAGCATCATCATCTTCGGCTCGATCTCAGAGCCAGAGTCAGGGTAGAGCCAGCCACTCTCGTGCTATCAGTGTGGTCAGCCAGGGCATATGAAGAGGTATTGCCCGCAGTTGGGTGGCACACCTGGTGCATCTGGTTTGAGGCAGATTCAGGGTCAGCAGCCAGCTCATCGGGTCAGGCCTCGAGGGCCAATCAGGGGGCTTTATCGTCCCAGTCGGTGCAGCAATCTTATGCTCCTAGGGTGAGCAGGTTGATCAGAGGTCGTCTGGGCGCGTGTATGCTGTTACCGCGCAGGATCTTGTGCCGGCACCATCAGTTGTGAGAGGTACCTTCTTGTTTTGCAACTCGGTTACTAGTGTTTTGATTGATACAGGGGCATCTCATTCCTTTGTGTCTGCTGCATTTGCATCTGTTTTGGAGTTAGAGTTAGCACAGTTGGCATCTCCTATTTGTGTAGTGTTCCTCTTGGGGGTGAATTGATTTTGAAACAAGGTGTTAGGGTTTGTGATATAGAGGTTGATTATCATAGAATCCCATTTTCCTTTGTAGTTATGCCTATGAGGGGTTTCGATGTTATTTTTGGTATGGACTGGTTATCGTCATATCGGGTAGTTATTGATTGCTACCGCTAGAGGGTCACTTGTTGTACCGTGAGCGAAGAGTAATTTCATTTTCTGGGGGACCGGGTTGGTAATGTGTTGCCACCGGGGTATGTTCCGCGAGGACGGAGTGAGCTTAGTGGTCTACTTGCTAACCTTTCGATTAGTGAGGATGATGAGACTCAGATTGTGTTGCCAAGGGTGGTTTGTGAGTACTCGGACGTCTTTCCGAGGATCTTGTTGGTTTGCCACCGCATCGAGAGATTGAATCTCTATTGACCTAGTGCTCGGCACGGCGCCGATTTCTATGGCACCTTATCGTTTTGCCCCAGCCGAGTTAGTTGAGTTGAAGATTCAGTTCCAGGAGTTACTAGACAAGGGCTATATACGTCCTAGTGTTCACGTAGAGCACCGGCCCTTTTTGTTAAAAAGAAAGGTGGTTCTTTGAGACTTTTGTATAATTACTGGAAATTGAATCGGGCTACGGTTAAGAATAAGTACCTATGCCTCGTATAGATGATCTGTTCGATCAGTTGAAAGGTTCC